GAGAAAGGGATGGATTCTGGATTTGCCACTGATGACGCTTACAACGTCTATGATAAGGGCCTGTTTACTGCTCAGCCTACACTTTCTACTCTATACAGACCGAAGAAGGATGCTGATTCTGAAATGTACGGAGGTGCANTGGAGGTGCAGATGAGCAGCTGGAGAAGATCATGAAAACAGAACGCTTTAAACCTGACAAGGCATTTGCAGGAACATCAGAGAGAGCTGCTCCAAGAGATGGACCTGTACAATTCGAGAAGGAGGTTGAGGAAGCAGATCCATTTGGTTTGGATCAGTTCTTGACAGAGGTTAAGAAGGGGAAGAAAGCAATGGCGAGTGTTGGTAGTGGAGGAACTATGAAGGCTAGTGCTGGTACCACACGAGATGGCTATGAAACATCTAGCAGAACTCGTATTGCTTTTGACAAGGGGCGTTAAAGTAGCCTTCAGGTGGCAGGAAGTGCTGGCTGTGGACCCATGTTGGCTGCATCTACTAGGCATAGTGCGAGATAATCTGCTGGTGTTTCATTCTGTACTATTTGCCAAGTAATTGCTCTTTGCATGAAAAAAATAGTAATTGCTGTCTTCATGCTCTTGTAACACATCTTCTTTGTTACCCGTTACTGTTTGGCTTTAATTTATTCCTGTCTATTTCTGAGTTTGCAACACAAGTTTATTGTTGCTTTCACACTTAAAATTTTCATCGCTCCACTAAATGAAGCGCCTTTGACCAGTTAGATGATGCTTTAACGGTATTCTGGTTTCAACTTTCAACCCATGTAGTTTATTTTCTTCTGCTGTTAGTCTCTTGCTATTCTGTAATATCTTTTGGTGAAAGGATTTTGTGTTCTGTAGCAGTTGCTATGTGTAGCAATCTCCAATCGTTTCAACTTTCAACCCATGTAGTTTATTTTCTTCTGCTGTTAGTCTCTTGCTATTCTGTAATATCTTTTGGTGAAAGGATTTTGTGTTCTGTAGCAGTTGCCATGTGTAGCAATCTCCAATTGCTAATAACATCTCGCTACTTAATATTGTTGATTAAGATAAATTTGAGAATGTTTCTATGGCAGCTTATGAAAGTCCAAACTGGAGTTTGACATGGTATATGATAAACGGCTCCTGCAATAGGCCCTCTCATCAGTTGAAGAAAACTCCAACTGGTGCTAAGAACTTGTAAAGCTGGAGGAGAATGTACAAAAATTCTAAATTACTTCTTGGTTATGTTGGTGTAGTAAGAATGCCACTGGATATGTTACTAATCATTCTTTTTGTTAGAATAATGATGTATGTCTGAGAGGAAGAGGTCAGAACTAAACTTCTTTTCATCCATTTTGACATCCTTTTGCTTGTAATTATATCTGCATGTAGGATTAATAGGAGCAGATCTCCCAAGACCCTTATTAAAACTGTACATTTGAAGTTGATCTCCTAAATGGTCCAAGGTTTACGTGATCTTTATTTACACTTGAATATCCCAAAACTTTTAGTCTGACCGTGAGATTAATTTGCACAATTTTTTTTTTCTTTTTGTTCCAGTTGATACAACGAGTTAGGTGTTGAAATTTCACAAAATGAAAGGTGAAACATGGAGGAAGTGGGTCTCATTTCCAATTTAGAGAAATTCGTGGTCCAACAACGATCAAATAAATGTATTTAGAGATGCAAAATCAGTTAGCAGCGATGTTGGAACGATCAGAGGCGGATTCAGAATTTATATTCTCCGGGTTCAACTTTTAAGGTTTTTAATATTAAACTCATTATATTTTTAAAGTTATGGGTTCAAACCAACCAGTTGTTGCAATTTTAGTGTAATTTTGCACATAAATTTATACTCAGCGGGAAAGTACTGGGTTCAGATGAACCCGACAGATATACTCTACATTCGCCTATGGAAATTAGGGGTGACAATTTGAGCCCAAACCCATCCAATCCGCCCAACCCGCCCCGAGATTAATGGGTTGGGCTACAAATATATTAGTTCATGGGTCAATTTGGGCTGAGCCCAAGTTAACCCAATATTTTTTAGGGAACTTACACAAATGTCCCAAATAAATCTCAACTTACCAACCTCTGGCCATTAATCATAGACTTACCAAAACTAGCCAACAAAAATTGAAAACCCAAAAAATAGGGTTCTTTCTCTCAAAGAATCACATGCAAAAATCACCTTCCATATTTTTAAGCGAGATTAGCAACACTAGATACAAGACGGAAAGGAAGTTTTAGGTATGAGGTAGCAAATAAGGTGATAAAATACAAAAAATATATACAATATTCCAAAAATCTAAACAAAAAAGGAAATTTTTCAATGGATATAGTTGAAATTCATTGAAAATATATAGATAAGTCAATATACAAAATTTGAGGAAGATTGGAGGTGATTTGGACTGGTTTTGTATCAAAATTCGTAATTAAATTGAGTTCAATAAAGTCTTCTGCGACACATGCATCAAACATGTATCACACATGTATCTCACACACATGTATACATGGATTTACATGTGATACACAATAGATACAAATATGATACATATGTGATACACAAATGATACATAGTGTGATACACATGTCATTTTTTTCATGTTCAGTTTTTACCGAATTTTCAATTCAAACCACCTCAAAACTTCACCAAATCATCCCAAAACTAAGATTCAAGCTTCTTAAGTTGTGCCTAATCTATTCTAATAACACCCACTCAAAACAACGCAAAAATTTGATATTTTTTTGCTACAAATAGCTAAATGGCTAATTTGGCTAATATTAGTAATATTTTATCAATTAGCCAATTTTTGTAATGAACTACCTATAAATGGACATAGCTGGTAATTTTCCTATTTTTTATTGCCCATTATAACTCATTAAGCAGCCCAAATACAACCCATGAAACTCAACCAAAACAAAGGGATCTCGACCCAACTTATCTAGAAATTTACTTAGTTGCCCCAATTTTACTTCTTTTTTTGTATTTTCAATTTTATATTCTTTTATTTTTCTGTACCACCCACCCACCCTCCTCCCGCAAACCCCCTCAATTTTTTTTTACTTTTTTTTGTATTTTTAATTTTCTGTTTTCTGTTTTTTCATTTTTCTGCACCACTCACCCACCCCAACCCCCGCTCACCCCCACTCGTAAATATTTTTTCAACTTACATATTTTAAGGTAATTTTTTTTTTTAAGCAAGATGAACATCGTTCTAAAATATGGGTCAAGTTGGGCGGATTGGGTTATGACCCATTGTTTAGCCCATCTTGACTCAGCCCATCTTAACCCAAGTATACTTGGGCTGGGTTAGGTAATGACCTATTTATTGACTCAATCCATCTTGACCCGCCTAAATTTAATCCAACCCGTCCATTTACCACCTTTACTGGGAATGATGGAGGAGCTGGAGCTCATGCGATAACACGTTTTACAATATCTCATTGTTTCTTAGAATTGGGATCAATTGTCCAGAGGATCCACATCAAAACACATGTGCAAACACTTCCGAATCAATTTGCTGAATATTTGGAGTCCAAAACTAACGTAAAATTGGACTCAAATTTAGGTATTTTCCCTAATTTTTTTCTTATAATAACTAAAAAATTTATATCAATATTAACATTAAACTATGTATTCTTGTAATTTCCTATTTTTATATAGTAATTTTTGAAAATTAAATTTTCGGAAAATTTCTAGAATTTTTTGTAGAATTTTTGTGTTTGTGTTTGTGCGATAGGTTGATTCATTTGTTGCCTATGGTGGCTGTGGTAATCTCATTTGAGTTACTTACTTGTGGTTAGCGCCGAACGTGGCTATTTAGTTGTATTAAGGCGTTTAAGGCCCAAGGCAAAATTTATGACATAGCAATGATGTGTAGAACCGCGTGGGGCTTGTTCTATTGTATTAGTATAAGAACCCGCGCGATGCACGGATAATTTGATAAAATATTAATCTTATAAATTATGACCTAATTTATCATATTAACTTAATAAATATTAGTTGTATTTTATTATTTAATATAGTATGCAAAAATATAACACAATCTATACAAAATTAAAGAATACATATCATATAGTAATCAAATAAATTGTTTGATCCTTTTTATTTTTGTTGTTATTGAATTAGTAAGTACTTAGTACTATTGATAATTTTCTTGAGTGTTATTATATTTTATTGTTAATTAATTTAAAATATAAATATCATAAAATTATCTCTATCCCCTATCTTCGTACATTCTGTAGACATGTGATTTTTGACCCTCCCGAGATTTTACCCATTTTAGCGTAAAATATTTAATTTAGGCCTAATATCGCTATTTCAGCTAATTTTGACTCTTTTACTTTATTTTATTACAAGAAAATGAAAATTACAAAAAAATAGTTTCATTAATACTTTGTAGTCATTTTTAATCTTGAAAAATATCAAAAATAGTTTTGTTTTAATGTTCAATCTTATTTTAATAGTTATTTTACTTAAATAGGATTAATTAGTAAATGAGGTCGTATTTTTAGTCTCGTTCGCGAGGAAAGAATAACATTTGGGCTCAAACGACCCATTTTAAGCCTAATTTTTGGACCTAGCCCATAATTCCCAAGCCCATTATTCCTAGGCCCATACCCCTAACCTAAAAAAACCTACAAAAGCTAACCCCTAGACCTAAAAGACTATCAGCTGAAATACACAAAAAATAACGCCTAGGGACAAAAAAAAAGGCTGACAATCAGCGCCGCAATACACGACCATCCCTCCCCCTTTTGAATTTCGTCTTCTTCGGAACCCCCCACCCCCACGCCGTCATCTCTTCCCAAACGACCCCTGCTCTCTTCATCAACCACATACACCAGCGACAAAACAAACACAAACCCCCGTTCGCACACCCCACCTTCTTCTTCACCCTACAACTCTTTTCGTCTAGAACTCACCGGAATTGGTCACCGACGAGTAGTGACACTGCCAGCAACAGAACCAACAACTACCACACTTAGACACACACACACACACATAATAGCCCTGTCATTTAGTCCTTTCTCTCACACAGGCAAATAGCAACGAACAAAAAGAGGAACTCGAAGATCTAAAACAATAGGTCCTCTATTGGTTTTTGGTTTTAAGGAGAATTTAGAGTCAAATCATTCGTTTGATTCCGTCAATTTTGTTGTTTCTGAGATTGATGGGTTCCGATTAAGATTTCTGCTTTAATTAGTTTATTCTAGTTTCCTTGAGCCAACCCGTCGAGTTTGCTGTTTGAGGTTCGAGGTTTGCGGGGTAGTTTTTTGTTGCTGCTGTTGTTTGCCGTCTCTGTTCTTACTGTGATTTATTCGATTTTGGCCGAAGGTCCTTGTATATCTCTCAAAGTATTAAGGGAAAAGGGAGATATTATTTTTGCTATTCTAAGGTCCCTTTTTAAACTGATCTTTTAATCTAAGTTATGTTTTAAAGCTCGCTTTACTTGATCTTTATGGTATTTGGATGACTGTGATTCGTTAGTCAAACTAGTATATGTTGGAATTTTGTTGAATCTGCCCCTAAACCTTTGAATGAGATTTGAGCGAAATACATGGTTCATTAGCCTATGTTTGCTTTCAAAAATTGGTTCACTTGTTAAATTCTCTAATGAGACATAACTGTTCATTTGTTCGAAGTTGCTTGTTTCGTAATGTCGCTTAAAAACGGTTCTTTGAATAGTTTGTTGGATCAAAGACTCCAGTGACTTAGAACAAGATATTAGTTGGATTGAGTTTAAAAGTTGAATAAATTATGAACACCGTAGCTTCCTTTAGGCGCAGTTATAATAAGATCATCGTGACTACGGGTATGGTTCCCGTGACGTAGTTGCGATACATAATTTTCAAATCCGGGTGTGCATTTCATGTGACCCTACCATAACTTTGAATAATATTAATAAAAATAAACA